CCCTGCTGCATGGCTTCGCTCACCGGGCTGTACCCCGCACCTCTTACGACCAAAAGAAATGCGCGAAAGCGAAGGGAGTACGTCGGGAACGCTGTAACGTTTGTTTTGACTGCAAGTCAGCCGGCAGCATACGGTTCAATCGCCACGAACCCTTATCTACCCCTATCTCCCACATGTTTGGGCTGAAACGTGCGTTGAATTAAGGGCTCGACATGATTAGCATCGCAAACAGTACTTATCTCAAGTCAGACTATTGCTGGACGACCTGAACGTTGTTCGCCTTCTATTGCTGCTATCAGCTCAATTTCTTCAGGTTGAGTTGACTCAACTCACTTTCCACTTATCCATCTCCTCCTGCTTACTCTTGTACTGTGCTAGCAACTCATGAAGGATCTTCTTCAGGCCATCGGCATTGGTCTGCAAGACAGGCAAAACGTCGCCGACCGTCCTCTCCGTTAGAACGCCATTCGTCATGCGGAAGCACTTCCTGTCGGTGGCCAATGGGGCTAGCGTATCGAGAACAAGCTTGTGTTCTTCGGTTTCTTGTTCAATATCCCCAATTTTAGAAGCCAATGCTTGCAAATTCTCCTTGAACTGAGAGTACTGTGCTTGGAGATCTTCAAACTCAAGTCGTCACATCAGCTATCTGGCTATTGAATGTCGGTTAGTGGAAGAACAGTACCTTGCTGTTTTTGTGAGGCATTCGACGATGACGACATGTTTATAGCTAATTAGCCACAAGAGCCAGTGGAAAAGCCCAAGTGGACGGGCAGGGTGGATTGTTCCAAGATGCTCTCGGCTGTTGATGACTCAGCCACACATGAGTCATGAGTCTGTAATCATGACTAAGCGCATCGAACCTCACTTCAACAATGCATCCGCATCTGCACACCAAAGACAACCTCGGTGAGGGGAACGCCTCTCGCTTATCAAACACGCTGACTGCTTTACGTAGGCTGCGAGGAAATCATGACGGCGCTGGAAGAGTGCCACGCCCGTGGCTTCTTATGGAAAGCTATGGGCATGTGCTCAAACACCAAGCACCAGATGAACAAATGCCTACGGGCAGAGAGATTAGAGCGTACAGCAGCCAACAGAAAACAGGCAAAAGAGCAGAGGAAGAAAATCGAACGAGTCTGGGCTGATATCGATAAAAACTCGTAGTCGAGCGGGCTACAGATGACCTACGAAGATTTGCGAAGGCCCCTCGTCAACCGTAGCCCAGTCCAGCATGGCCTTGTACAACGGCAAAGTCATCTACCTCTTCAGCCTCAACATCCTCACTATCTCTCGATTTCTCAGCCACACACAAGTCCTGCTTTGCCTCCGCCTCGACCCCCTTCTCCACACGCAATTCCTCGAACTTTTCCGCCGTTTCATCGAGAGCCTTCTGGATTTTTACCTCTTCCTCGGCAAGGCGCATCCTCTCAGCCTTGAGAGCTTCCATTTCCTGCACTCTATGCGCCTGATCTGCCCGCATCTCCTCCAGTTTCTTGCCTAGCCGCTCCAGGACTCCTTTAAGAGTTGGGAGAGGAGTGATAATTGGCGGCGTGTGCTGCTTCGTCGTCTCGGTTGGAGCTTTGGCAGTAGCATAGGTTCCATGTCGCGTCTGCGCAGCTTCAAAAGCAGCATTTTCCTCTTCCTCGCTTTCATTTGAGCTTTCGGCCTCTTCCATTTCAGCAAGCCGAGCTGCCACATCCTCCTTCCTCCGTTTTGTCTCGTCACGCTCTCTCCCCAAAATTATCTTGTCCGCCTCTGTAAACTCGTCGAATCCCTCAAAAATATCCTCATCTTCACGTATCAGCCGGCCTTCAGTAGTCTTCTCCTTCGCTCTAAGAATCAACCTTCCTCGTTCATCCTCCTCTGCATCGCTGTCGCCCTCATCAAGCGGAATGTACTCTGCGGCCTTTTCCTTAGCCAGTCGCGCCCTACGAGCTTTCTTTTCGGCAATCTCCGCCGCCGACGGGATAATGCACGGCTGCTCATAACGTGCCAAGGACGAGCCAAACTTGGCAGTCAGATCCAGCTGATTCTCTGGGTCTGGCGCGTCCGTAGTCTTGAAATTGTGGACCGATTCGCTCCCTTGCTCCTCCTTCCCGATGTTACGCGTTGTCGCTTCTGCCCTGCGAACATCGCTTCGATGTACAGCTAAACGCGGCTTTCTGCCGCGTTTGTGCACCTGCACCTCTTCGTTGACCTCGTCATCGGCGGCAATCGCGCGTCGGCGCGGCTTAACAACTACCTGTAATCCTTCAGTCAGTCGTCAGCTTTACGTTGGAATTTAACAAAATATAAAAACCTACCTAACGAGTCTTCTCCCTCATAATTATCGCTTCCGACCTTCCGTGGCGCTCGACGCTGTTTGAACATGACTGTGGTGGGCGGCCGACAGGAGACTTCAGGTTGCGCAACAATGTTGATTGGCTCGAAAGCAGCGAGCGCTAGCGGAAGGTTCCCCGTTCGAAGCGAACCGCCTAAATCGCTAGGGTAATCTTAAGAAAAGCTAGGATATGTAACCGCATTAGGAAGGTTGCTAACCGCTTTTGAAATGGTGCCATGGAAGAACCCGCACGCGCTATTTGATTGGCTGTCTGATGCCCATCTCTCTCGCACTCTCTGGAGAGCCTCCATGTTCCAATTCTCTCTATCTCAGGCTTGATTTCTCACGAACAGAAGGAGGTATACTTCAAGTCCTAGATACTAAACGGGCGAGCAGTTAGATGATCATCAGCTGAACGAGCCAACACAGCCTGTGGTACGCGCGGGCGTGGGAGGAGAGCTAGAGCCAGTTTCGGGCAAGCACAAACATTTGTGGCTTCTATGGGCGGAATGTACGGGAGATATTGGCACAGCTACAAACCGAGACGCAAGCCTTGCGTGAAGAATCGCTTTTGGAACCCCCATATCGATCTCGTGCCAGAGCAGGCCGATGACACCTGGGACGTCGGATTTTTGGTATCCCGGAGCTTATCTGCTTGCCTTAGGGGTGGATTTACGTGACTTCAGACTCAGATTCAGGCAGTGGCTACAGCGACGGGCAAGAGGTGAATATGGTACGGGTCCTTCCGTGATACCATTCTAGAATACGTTAGCGACAGTCCTAATGCGGTTAGATATCTTGCTTTTTCTAAGATTGCCCTAGGGATTTGCGTGGGGCGCGTGCAAAGAGTTGTGTCTCCGCTAGGGGATGACGTAAGCATTCCATCAGGCACATGATCTGACTTTTGTTTGTGACGGCTGGACCGTAGATAGACATCCTTCATACAAGTTTGAACACTGAATGAATGCTCTACGTTAACACACCGGTTTCAACACGCGGCTTTTCCTGCTGCTGAGAGAACATGTGCTCTTGAGCGAGAAGGCCTAAAGCACAGAGTCTTAGTACGGGATCGTCCGTTAGCGTCCGTGCTGCTAAAGCAAATCAGCAAAACTGCGTGATGGTGGCCCCCACACAAACTTCGAAATCTCTTTTTGCACGACAGATCAACTTGGTACTTTCGCTACACAACCTTCTGCTCAGACAAGAAATGGGGCTAGACCTCTTGCAAGAGATAAACGTTACTTACGTACGGATGTAACGAATGTATAGGGTTAAAAAGTATGAAGTGCACAAGTGCTTCGACATGCCACTGAAAAGCTAGTTTCAGGCGACCAGGAGAAGAGATTCAGACAATAGACAAGGAACTTCAAGTAAGTTTGTGGGGTTGCAGCTGGATAAGTTTGCGACTCGCCTACGCCTAGGTGCAGGAACCACAGTGCAGAACCATGAGCCGTCTAAGCTGGGCGACATAAAGTAGGCATTTAAGCCTTCTGAGGCCACTATGATGCTAGCGAGCGCAGCAAAGTCCACGCCTTCCACAACATTGCCTGTGTACAGAGATATTGGAGGGTTGCTGGAAGAAAGGCCGATCCAGACGTGCGGCAATGATTTCAGTCAAAGGCTGACAAGCTGGAGCAGTACAGAGTCCGCCTCTAGCACAAGATCCGATCTATCTTGCAACGATTCTGGATCATTTCTCCAACGCAAGGGACACCCCGTCTCGTCGGATCAAGCCCAAGAGGTGCGAGAGTGGCTGAAGGAGGGGCACTTCTGAATGGAGAGGAGGGCGATAAGAATCTCGCGTCGTGGATTTTCGGAGCCTCCAAACCGGCCAAGAGGGGCTCATACGACGAGCAGCTCCAAAGTTTCAAGGACTTGGCGAAGCTGCCAAAGGGTACGGATCTGCTATAGATGTAGCGGACACATGGGCCGGACTTCTCCTCACTCGCGTCCATTGTTCGTGACGTTCTCGTCGTATCAACGACCAGCAACCAACGCCGAGCGGATGTTTTCATTAGGGCGGTTGATAGTTCCGCCAACGCGAAACCGACTATCAACGGAAAAATTAGGGTACCTGATGGTGCTGAAGAGCTGGTTGCGACTAATCAGGATATGGTGTTAATCGGTGCAGAAACTGCAAGACCATATGGGGGGAAGGTGTGAAGATCAACAAAAACGATGTTTGAGGGTGGAAAATTTGGGTCTGTCTAGACAGTATGGCGGTGATCTGGTGCCTGAGGGCGGATGCATCTGTTTCGTCGCATTGAACCTCCAGGAGCATCCACAAAACTGTTGACAGGCCAATGCGAGGTGAAATTGAGGAGGATTATCATGGCTGATGGCGCGTTGATTGCTCAAACAAAATCCTTTGTAGGCTACTCAGGTCAATGCTGATTCTATAGTTGTCATGTATACTTCGTCAACTACTCGCAGCCGCCTTCAGTCAAAAACCTTCGTAATGCAAGATGATATACCTGCTGTAGCCGGAGCTTTAGTTCGATCAATCAAAAATTGGCCGCTCCAAACACAAGTACACGGCTAAAAAGATCCCTTATAACCCTGATGCATCTGACACTTTCAAACAAAAATTTCTCCAGCGACTCACATTCCAAAATAATTTGAGCCTAGTAGACTGTCTATGTCATATAACCAATGATCCTACCATACTAACCATGAACAAAGCTTCGTGGCGCAGTGGAAGCGCGCCGGGCTCATAACCCGGAGGACCATCGATCGAAACGATGCGGAGCTACTTTTTTTCCTTCGTCAAAGTTGAACTTTAGGAAAAATTCTGCGCTGTGCTTTCCGTGGACTCAGAGCAAGTTTCTTTTGCGGGAGGAATAGAGTACAGAGCATGGAATTCGATTCTTCAAACCTATTGCTCAAAGATTTTCGCTCGCTTAGTTACAGTTACAGATGTTTCGCATCGGCACGTGACGCAGATAATGGGAACGCACGAATTACCAATTGCATCTTAGTTTTCTGGTACGAATACGGCATGTGATATTAGTGGAGAGTACAGATTTGCTTGATTGGATGCATCAGGTTTCATGGGGCTGGATGGCAATCGCAACAGCACGACAACGGGAGGAATAGTCTTATGCGAGGAGAATGAATCTGAGAGATTGGTGAGAAGTGTTGACTGCAAGTTTGAACATCAGCTGGTATTGTCGAACGAAGTCGGTTCTAAGACTTTGGAGATGTATCATAGAGTCGATTGCAGCAAGAATTCCCTGAGGTGCATGGTAACTCCGGACCACAAGCGTTCTGAGGTTTGCACTGGTCAACTTTAGTATGGCCCGGTGATCAGATCGGTAGAAAAAGGCAAGGACTCGAGTCTTGAGAATCCGACCTGTTGTTCTGCAAGAAGCTGCTTTAACGTCTCCTTACCAAAAGCAACAGCGCAGTTGTAGACGACGGAGTTTGGTAAAGGCGCTCCGCAACGACGAAAGTCCAGTAAAGTCGTCGGAGGGGTCTCCCCAGCATATGCCAAGGCTCTCGAAGCATTTGAGTCGCTTCAATGTGATTGACAGCTCAGACCAAGAAAGATCGTAAAACGTGCCAATGGCCAGATGTTTGAGGCCGGGGCACTTGGTTGGAATGAGCTCTACAGCCCGCCCCGCCCGGTTCATGTCATGAATATGCAGCAACTGCGAATTTGCAGAAAGATGGCGCTCAAAGGGCATATTGTGCTCGGGATCATCGGCTGTTCCGAACAAACGGGTGAGTTGGTCAAAGTGCTCGAAAGAGACGCTTGGCAAGCACCGATGGGGACCACAGTGTCCAGAGACGAGTTGACGTAGCTGTGGAAATGAGAGACCCTCCGTCATACCGTGGTCCTCGACAACCGATTTGCAAAAAACATGCAGATGACGAACTTTGTTGGCAAGATCTTGTTTTCCGGACAACGCTTTGGCGAATGTTTCAATTGTTGGGTTTTGCCAAAGAATTTCTGCAGCGACGTCTGCAAACGCCCGGGAGACAATAGAGGCATTGAACAGCGAGCGAGGGTCGTCTTCGAGAAGTTCCAAAATCCCGATGAGAATGTCCAGTGGTATTTTAGGAAATGAAACCATGTCGACTGTGCAATCGAGAACAAGAGGGCGATGTGGCTCTCTGATCTTCTTGTTGAGTTTGCTGATCTCCCTTTCAGGATGCACCTTGTGGAGGCCACGGAAACACAGCTCTGATTAGTCATGGAATAGCGTGTAATTGACACGCCAGTTACTTCCTATCGTTGAAACCCGCACCTAAGGTAGATCGAGTTATACTACTTTGCTCCTTCAGGCACCAGCAGCTACAGCGTACCCTAAGTTTCATTCCCTCGCAGAGGTTCCCTCAAGGTTTATTGTTGTTTTGTGAGCCACACGCCCGCCAAGTGAGTCACAAGCCCGCATGGTGAGTCGTCGACTCAGACGTCGTACAGTTTCTACTTTGATCTCCGCCTACCGCTTCCTTCTTGTTACATCGCTTCACCCACGTCTATGAGCGGTATCACCGTGGGATAAGTGTTGCTGGTATGTAAATCCGGCACTGGTTCTTATCTCTAAGATTTGTGAGAGCGGTGCTTCCTCATTCAACAAATAGGGCAGGTCTAGGTTATAATATATGGAGAACGATATCAAGTTGCGATGTTGACTTTCAGTGCGTTACATGACGCTACTGATGCGTTGTTCTTTGGCCTTAGGCCGAGCACACAAAGCTCATGCAATGTGGAAAGAAGCTCAGACAGTGGTTATCTGTTAATGGTGGCGGGTGGCTACGCTCTATGTAATGATCTGGCTTTGCAAGTTCAAGACGCAACTGTCAGAGCCATAGTTTTGATGTGTCAAAACTTTGAAATCTGGGACAATCCTTGGGGCACTATAACAGTGCCTGAACGTTGGTGGGCGATCTTTGCTTTGCAAAGCTGCAAATGTGCGATGTTAAATCTTGGTGGCTTTTTCCTTCCATGTGTGTCATCAAAATAGGGCGCCCAATCGTTGAAACTGACGCGTCAACCACCTGATTTCCCGTCTAGAACTAGCAAGTGTCCAGTTAGCTAAGTGTAGCAAACATCGTGATGAAGCGATTTGGCCTCTCAGCAGTTCTATATCCGCTATATAGTCAAAGCAGTTTTACCAAAGTGCACGAGGACGTAGAAAGACCGGTCTTGCTGGGAAAGGTACCCGTCCTTAGAAAGACTACGCCGTGTTGAGTGTCTGCTCTATTCTGAGTTAGTTGCATGAGGAGTAACAAGATCCACGTATGCGCAGGGTGTCCGGCTCGGCTATACCAAACGGACTGGGGAGATCAGCTATGAGCGAATTAGGCAAAACTAGGCATGCTAATTCAAGAAAGGGCGGATGAGATCTCACGTCGACACAAAGTCAGTGCTTGTAAAAGCCGACTGTAGTAGCAGTGGTGTATTGAAACGTGACGTCTGTTTTCCATCTTGTACCAACGCTGCCATTATCAGAGCAATTGATTGTTGCTTTGAAGGGATACCGAGACTAGAAGGTAGGGTTTTCGTCTGAAACTAAGACACCAGTGGGGAAAACCAACAGTCCAATGGTAAACAACGACTACAAGGAGTGTTGATTTTTCACATTGTCGATGTTTACGCGAAGCATTCACTTCGCAACGCTGCTTCGCTGTGTTGCCGTCAACAAACACCACTCCTTTCCCTTTCGATCCCCTTCCACCGTCATTCTTCCTCCTTCAATCGCACTCACTTACCTCAGCACAATAACACACTCCAGCAAACAAGCAGCCATGAATCCCTCGGATCAGCCCGGGATTTATGCTGATCATTTCAGAGCCCGCTATGCCCCTGGATCTGATCCCCGCTATCGTATCAGACCCCTCGGGACCAAGCTCAAGCCCAACGACCCGCCGCCTACCTGTGAGCAGTTCCTGCGCAAATCTGGAGCGCCCATGTGCACTTTTGTTGTCGATCAGTCCGCTCCGAACACGTGTATCTTCACCTTTGAGAAGGAAGATCACACGTTGTTGAACCTTATGACATGCCAGCTGCAGAAGTCTCCGAATGTCCTGTTCGCTGCGTATAACATTTCGCACCCGCTGTTTCCCGTCGGCAGAATGCGCGTACAGACGAATGGTACTGTTTCACCCCGCATGGCTCTAATTATTGCCGCCCGTGAGACTCTCGCTGAGCTCGCTAAGCTTTTGAACGTGTTCTCGGAAGAGGTGGCCCTGTACAAGGCGATGCATAAGGATCGGGGTGGATCGAGCAGACACTTCAGCGACAAGGACACTGAAAACACCGAAAACCCCAAGCATGATGCCGGAGCTGTGGATGGGGACATGATGAAGGGCAATGGCAAGGGAAAAGAAAAGGTCATCAAGACAAACGCCTTCAAGGACACAGAGATGAAGGATCCTGAGGCCATGGAGTAATGTTGTAATACCGGGTACTAGGCTTCTTTGCCTCTGGTTCGTATCCATTGACTTCGCATAGACAAACACGTAGAGCTGTGTATGAAAGCCATAAAGTCAGAAACATGATCTGCCTGAACTTGTATCTTCTGCCTGATTCTAGTCGTAGGTGTCTAGCTCTGCCGCCACCTCCCATGCTCCGTAGATGTTCAAATATCATGCATAATCCAAGTTTTGACCCGATACTTATCGTTCTAAGGACGCGTGCCTGCCATAGGCCGAAGGTGTGCAAACATGTTCCTTTCGGCTTATGTTTCAATGAGCATCAATGTGTCATCCTGTGCCATATCAACTGACTTGAAGTTTAACATAGGTGAAGATCGACTTCGCCCCGAAACCGGCAAAACCTCGGTTAACCAAGTGAAATTCTCGGGCCACTCCCGCCCGGCGCACTACGCGTCTCCTTGAAATCTCTGTCAAACACAATGTCCTCACCCTCATCAACCCTCAAGGCTGTAACGTGCACAACAATCAAATACTGCGCATCTACTCGAGCACGGAGCTCGTATCCTAAACGTTGTGTCAAGGAGAGGTAGTGTCAGAATGATGTGGCACCCACCATGACCAGAACCCTAGATAGAAGTCGAAACTTCTCAGGGTTTCTACCTCTATAGGGGACGTTTTCCCTGAGAGGGATCGTTGTCTCGTTCATGCTTAAGGGCATGATTCGCTGACGTTGTCCTGGCGAATGCAGTTAGACTGAGGTAGTGTGGAGAAGGTTTCGAACCTCACTTCATATAGAGATAGATATCTACATTCATCTTTTGGTCAGAGTTGAGTGCACACATTTGTCGTTGATCTATGTTCCGCTACAGTCCTCGGAGGTTTACCTCTCCGACAGGTAGCGAGTTCCGCATATCATCCCCACCTCCATCACGTTCTACCATCCCACAAGGCCACGCTAGCGTGTAATTTTTGCACACGCAGACCCTCCAAAGTGGGTCCACGGTCATGTAAGTCACACTAGCTCTCCGCGCGCGCACACACACACACACACACACACACACACACACACACACACACACGGTTACCACATTCTACTCCTTACACGCGCCGGAGGCGCTGCGCCTTCGGCGAAGAGCTCTTGCACGCCGCGTGGCGTGTTTGGCAGGGCATAGTGACTTCCGCGAGTACCACGAGAGATTCGACCACCACAACCAGGCTCATGGAATTTGACACCTTGTGCATTTTTACCGCTTAACAAGGGGCATAGCGGCCAGGGATGTGCTGTGCAATGGGGTGCCCCGGGGCCAGAACTGGATACAGCGGCCGGGCAAAACGTTTGTCAAGTTTATAACATGGCTAAGCTTCTAC